ATAAAGGACGGGGGGCGATTTCTACAGAAATCGGCCCAATTGAATTTTAATGATCTGCTCGGGTAGAAACAAAGGAAATAATGGTAGAAGGTAGACTTTATGGTTCTCAAATGACTTTGCTAGGTATTCAACAAGTATTTCGGCAAGAAATTTGTTTTTTTACATTTTTGATAAACGATTTGTCATATAGAATTTTGAAGTATTTTTCACGGCCTATCTACTGATATATAATTCATTTGGTTTGAATTAAGTAACAAGTACATATATGTAAAACTTGACAACCAAAAGATGCCCCAATGTGTACACAGAAAATTGAAGAAGTAATCGGATCGTGGACTTGTAAATACCTAGCAAAGTCATTTGAAAACCATAAAGTATACTTTCTACCATCATTTCCTTTGTTTCTACCCGAGCAGATCATTAAAATTCAATTGGGCCGATTTCTGTAGAAATCGCCCCCCGTCCTTTATATGTAAATTTGTTTGTTTCAGACAAATCTTTTGAAACCCATGCATTATAATGTATATGAAAAGTTTTGTTTTAATTTCCTTAGTTTTTCAAAAAAAATCATTAAATTTGAATGTTCCAGATATTTACAACAGAGTTAGAGGTATGTCCGTAAATTGAGTGAAATTTTTGAGAGAAGTACACTAAACTGAAGAAGGGAATAAGTTTTTGATTCAACGAGAAAAGTTCTTTATCTTTAACTTCTGATAGTGTTAATATACAGCTGATCGTTCGTTTTATATTTTTGTGCTGAATCCAATAGAAGTCCAACAGATTCTGGACGTCTGATTTTCGATATCATTCTGTATCAAAAAAAAAATTATAAATGAAAAAAAGAACAATAATCGAATACATTTATATGTTTATAATGATAAACAGGCCTTTTCCATCATTGACTACTGTTTATATATGACTATATAAATAATACAGAAAAAAAAACTTCCAAATGCATCGTTAACTACCCAGGCAAACGCGAAAGGTAAAAAAATGCATGTAACTGCATGCAAAATCCTGTGTGTACATACACCATGTGATTTTACATGCGATGGGAATTTGCACGTACACATGTATTTTATTCTCCCATGCACATGCACGAAAATTCTGGAATAACTAAAAAACGAAGAATATGTAACAACCACCCATGAATACATAGTAGTTATTTCCAGAGATAAGATACGAACATAAATTGTTTTATAAAACGAACTTCTTCACTATTCGACTATCTACTTACATTAGAAGTGCAACAAAAAAAGAAGAAGATTATGATAGTCCAATAAATATTAGGTACATGTGTACATGAATGTTATATAACTGTCAAGAATTATAAAAAGTGAATAAGATTTTTGAGTTATCATAGTTTAGTAATATAGAAGAATGATCTCATTTTTATGAAAAAGTGACGAGTTATACATCTTGCATGAACATGCAGGAATGGTGCATGCGAATGTTTGCAAACATTAGAGTCATGCATGATCTAGCATGTATTGTCTAAAACATCCAACAATTGTAATTGTATACATGTATTACTGTTTTGCATTTATGCATTACAATCGCTGACATTTCAGATAACTTGTATGAGATGCACCAACTGAAAAAGTTTCTCGCAAGTTAATGCGAATTTCTGAAAATTTTCCACAAATGTACGTGTGTTTTTTAAAGCTTCGTGTTTGGCTGGAATAGTATTTGTGTGAAATGCAATATTAAAAAGTCTCAATTTACTTTTAGATGAAGAGCATGTTGACGTGCTGCTTGTTCAGTTTCATTTTTAGCCAATCGTTCATTGAGTTCATTAATTAATTCATCTTTGACTCGAAGTTTCTTTTCATATGCTTCTCTAAAAACGAAATATTATTTAAAATACACAATAAAAACAAACGACTAATTCACCTTAGTGTTAATATTTCAACTTTATAATTATCTAATGAATGACCAATTTTTAATGATTCTTCACGTTGTTTAGCTAAACGTTTCTCATAAGTTTGTCGAAGGGATATTGTACTTAAGAAATAAATCTATGCTTTTTGTTTGTATAGAAAACATATCAAAATAGTTACTTTTGTTCAAATGCTTCAGTTAATTGTGAAACAACATGTTTATTTTCATTTAAAATATGTTCTTGTTGCTCATTTAACTAAATCAACTCGATGAAACTCATGATGAAACACTCGAAAAACAACAGAAGAGATCTTACATCATGGATTCTTCGTTTAGCATGACTTATTTCACCTTCATAATCACGTAAACATTGTGTAATTCCAATAGAAAGACGTGTATATGGATCCGATGTTGTATTCTCATCATCCGGTGGTAAATAAGATTTTTCTTTAATATAAGAAAAAATAAAGAATTTTAAAAGTAAATTTTCAACAAAATGTTCAAACCTCGTTTTTTTTCTTCTTTTATAATTAATTGTTTAAGTGTCTCAAGAAACAAATTTAACGATGGAGATGATGACATAGTTTCAAGTTCCATTCCTGATGATTTTCTTTGAACAATACTTCTCATTGAGGATGGTATTGCAACAGTATTTGATGTTTCTGGTAATGCTTGTAATTGTTGACCAATTAAAAGAAATCTATTCATATAACTTTCACTTAAATTTCGAATTTTTTGTTCATTTTCACGCATTAAATTTGTTATTTTTGATGAATGATCACTATCATTATCAACACTTGTTGATGATGTTGATGTTATGTCATTATCATCATCATCATCATTCGAATCGATCAGAGTTTTTATTCGTACTAATTGTTGATCATGTTGTTTCTTCATAGTTGTCTTTTATTCAAATAATTGAACAATTTTCAGCAGAATATTATTCGCCATTATCAAAATATGAAACTATAGTAATAAGGAGGTTTTCTTTCTTTTTCAAAGAAACAAACAGATACAACTGGTTCCAGTTTATAACCAATCGAATTGAAGTAATGCTAGTTAGTTAATCAGTACATTCATTGTTAAAGAAAATTTAGTTACATAATTTGTCTCATTGAAATGGGTGCCCAAACTTCATCTGTTACTTCTAATCAAGAATTGAATGATAATATAAAACCACCAAATGATGTTCAACATTCAACAGCTAAAGATCCAATAGATCAATGTCCTCATTTTCAACAACAATCAACTCCAAAAACAACTTATGTAAGTGAATGTCCTATGTCAGGTTCAGTCGGTAATAGTGATGTTAACCCATTAAATATGATGCCACCAGCTAATCAAATGCCAGCACCTGATCAACCATTTTCATTATCAACAACACGTATTACTTCAAATATCCCTAAAATATCTGAAAAAGAGGAAAATTGGGTAAGAAGTTTTTTTTTTGTTTGATTTCTAACTATTTTTCTAAAAAATAAAATTTCATTTAGGTTTATCCATCTCCACAAATGTTTTGGAATGCAATGTTACGTAAAGGTTGGCGTTGGCAAGATGATGAATTAACACCAGTTGATATGGAAAATATTGTTCGAATGCATAATATTAATAATGAACTTGCTTGGTTAGAAGTATTAAAATGGGAAGCATTACATGCAAACGAATGTATGAATCCTCGTTTAGCATCATTTGGTGGAAAAGCTAAAGATTTTTCACCTCGTGCTCGAATTCGACATTGGTTAGGTTATAAACTTCCATTTGATCGGCATGATTGGCTTGTGGATCGATGTGGAAAACGTGTAAGATGTAAGTTGTTTACTCTTTTAGTTTCTAAACTCAAAACAGAAGTTTTTTATCCATAGATATTATTGATTATTATGATTCAGAACAAGTTGATCATGATACATTAACATTTACAATCTTAGATGTTCGACCTGCATTTGATTCATTTGGTGCTGTTTGGGATCGCATGCGTGCTGCGTGGTGGCGTTGGACAGTACGAGAACACTATGATACAACAGAAGCGAATACACGCGATGAATTAATCAAAACAGCTAAGCGTGAACTCGATAATAAAAAAGAACAATTAAGGCCTTCTCAATAAATAATTATTCGTTAGCTTGATTTTCCTAACTAAGTTTCACATGTGTGTGTTTTTCAGTTTGATAGTGTTCTATCAATGAAGAAGTTCATGTTAGAAAAGAGAAAATGTTTTTTTTTTGTCATTTTTTTTCGATTGTTATTTTTAGATTAAATAAATGTCGAAACAACAAATGGTGAACTAATGTTTTAATTTATAGAAACGAGAAGAAAGATTTTGTTGAATTTAGAAAAATAAGAATGAACAACGATTTATTGAAACATGTATGAGAAGATTAGAGAAAAATCGACGACAATCAGTCGATAACAATAACAGGTTTTTAATTCTTACTTAATATTAACAAAAAAAGATCATAATAATGGTAATGTTATTTCTAATAGACCTAATGAGTGGTATGATTTTGATTCACGTACAGATGAAGTACTTGTACCATCAAAATGGATTAGTCGTTTGAATGAAGCTAATGCAGTGAATAATCATTTACAAGTAAATATTTTAAATAGGAAATATTTTGCTGTTTTTTTCGACAACAACTGATGCTTTTCTAGTATCTACGTGAAAAAATTGAACAGGATTTTCTCAAGTAAAATTGAAGTTTTCTTGGTAGAGAAAGATAGATGATTTATATTTTTTCCTATATTAGAGAAACACCGAAAGTTGATCGTGAAGCACTATATTGTTCATCAGCTTTACATAAAATACGACAAAATGCATTTTATAAACATCTTAATGAACATCAAATACGATGGGTATGAATCGTTTCTGATTTTTTATTCAATATTAAAATGATTTCTCTCTTAGCAACCTGTTATACTAATTGGTGAACTAGCATCATCACTGCCGAAACCTACAACAGATCCTATTGAAATTGAAAAACAATTGTACATGTCGTTATTAAATAAAAAATAATTTTGATGTTTTTTGTATGCTTTTCAACATTTTTATTATTTGGCTTTTGTAGATACTCTTCTTATTATTTTTCGTTCTTCTTCTAAAATAATTGATAATGCTTCGTCGACCTTTGACAAGTAAGACTTATTGGTAATGGTAAATGAATTTAGAATAGTTCGTCATTTTAGAAATTGATATAAAAGTTGATGAAATCGAAGATCTTAATGCGGCAATACAAGAACGTAAAAATCAAAAACCAGGCATGACAAATCGAGATCCAATTGGACCATCTGTAATTCCACCACCATCTCAATCACTCTTTTCTTTCCTCGATGGAGTTGGTAGTGCCGGAACACCAAGATAAATTATCATTCGCTGTCTATGCTTGTAAATTTGAATAGAAAATTAAACGTTTCTTCGTTATCTCGATCTATAATGTTATTTTTTCTCTATCCTGTTAATAAAAAAAATACGCACGAACTTTTCTATTCATTTTATGCATCGTATCATCCAATTATGTTCGACTTGCCAATATATATTTCAAAGTTCGCTGACGAGCGAGCATCTTCAGTAAACGAATTGCGTTTCGATCTAGACGACGTTCATTTGATAAGTACTAGTAAGTGACAGAAAAGACGAGAATGGTTTTGTTTTTCGGGACTGCGTTTTTGAGGTATCAAAGTTTTGCTGAGTTTCTCAACAAAAAGCTGTGTCGTCTCAGATCAAATGAAAGATTGGCCTTCTAGTTTCACCTTCAAGCTTTGAACAAAAACAAAGTTCTTAATGAGATTAGTTGATTTTGCTTTTACACATAAAAAAATTTCGAATATTGAATATGTCAGGATAGGAAACATTAGAAAAGTTATAACTTGCTCAATAAACAGATCTTATTGAGAACTTTGTTATAACAAAGTTTGAAGTTGAAAGTTGATTTTCCACATGATCTGAGGGGAACGACAACGTTTTGTTGAAAAACACACTAAAGTTTCCATATGTCAAGAACGAATACTAGGAAGACCACATAATTCTAGAGTTTTCTATTACTCATTGGTACTCTAGAAATGAACATCGACTCGGTCGAAAAGCAATTTGACATCTACACCGGTTCCCTCGTCACATGTTATTGATTGACTCTTTTCTCTTAGTAACAACCAACAATTGTACGAGTAACCTAATCTTTACTTTCATTTCTTCATTTCTCCTTTCTTTCCGTCGAAAAACAATTTGTATAATACATGTACAAGTTTTGAATCTTCTTAATTCTACAAAAGTTGTTTTTCTTTATGGCATGAAGAATAACAAAAATATTAGTTGAAGAAAACTATAAAAAAAAACACCATGTTAAGCAATTGTTGGATCAGAACAAACTTGTTTTTGATACGCAGTATTTGACAAGAAATAACAAGACTCTCGAATAAAATCAACGAACAATTCGACATATACTTGGATCCAAACCTGATTCATGTATTTGTTGTTTAAATAAATTTCTTTGATAATTTTCACTATATCGATCAACACGTTGACATAAAACAAAACGAATACAAAAGCAAATAAATCTATTCACATAATTAAATATAAAACAAAAAAAAATATCGTAATACCCAACCCGAGAACAATTGTTATACTACACAGAATCAAAATAGCAACAAATAATGGTAATGCTGAATTAATAGTCGGTAATAAATGAATTTTTCTAGTAGATAAAATAGGTTGTCTTATTAACATTTATTTTCTAATATTTAAACCAAGAAATATATAAAAATGTAGAGCGCCATGATGATTGAAAATGTATCTATCGTATTAATTGGTTACATATCCCAATAAGGGAATAATCACATCAATTAAGGAACGACGTTGATAAGGAACGTATCAAATGGACAATTGATGTGTATCATTCCCAAAATGATCTCAATTGAAACAAATACAAGAACAGTATAAAAAAGAAGAAAAATATCAAAATGAAACTATACTCAAACATGAATTCATCTTATGAGCCATCCCCGCGTATCATCGATCCCTTTATTTTTCATTTTCTTTCATCAACAATTGAACCACCCCCTCCACTACCATCATCGATTTTCTTTTATGATCCTTTTCTTGTCGTGCCACCACCACCTGCTATCAACATCTCATCATCATCAGAAGTGAGATTTATATAATCAATCAAATCTAACATATTCTTTAACTTTAATTTAGATTTTGACAACAAAAGTGATTATATCTAATCGTCATCGATTCACACCTCTTCAATTATTCACCCTTCATCGAATTTTTATGCAACTACCATATCCATCATTGGAACAACGCCGTCTTGCTGCTGAACATCTTGGTATTGATATTGAACAAGTTCGTGTTTGGTTTTCTAATCGTCGATCAAGACAACGTGCTTCTAATCATCAAACAAATCTTATTCAACCCACATCTAATGAATATTTAAACTTGAAACCATTGTTCGATAAATTAAATCTAGTTATTTAATTAATATTTTCTTTTTTTTTGAATAAAAATTTGTTGCTTGTGGTATTTATTGAATTCAGCAGTGTAAATTTCTTTTTATAAGAATTATAAAAGAGAAAAGAAAACAAATTATAAAGATATTATTTCACAAACAGTGATGTACAACAGAAAAAAAACGCATTCAAACAGCAATGATAACAACTTGAGTGTTTCGCGTATGGCATATATTTACACAATGTTAAGATTTCAATCGGTATCTGCCTGACAACATAAATGCAAACATTCATGTTGTTCGAATCCCTAAAGTATTAGAAAAAAGAAAGTAATTCATGTAAAAGCCACTTCTTATCCACACGACGATAAAGCAACATCGTAAAAGATTTATTTGCCATGATTCAGTTTTTTTTTTTATGTAAAAACGATGGTTGACATTATAAAGTTTCAGTCACCTATCTCAAATCATTTTCCTTCAAGCAATCAAAATCTTCGAAATAAATTAACTTTTCAACAATTTAATTTACCAATTTTTCTTTCAAACCATTACACCTTTTCTGCAACGGATCATATACAAAATATTGATACAAAACGATGGATTGATCATTGTCCTCATAATTCATCTCGTTTACTTGATGCTTCAAATTTACCATATACGGTACATCGAAAAGTTATGTATCAACAATTATCTCGACAATGTACAACAACAGTTCGTGTTAATGGACCATTACCAACTAAACAAAAACGCAATGCAAGTAAAGATACAACAACAGGAAATGGAGGAACAAATGTTACATCTCAACCATCATTTTCTAATAGTGATATACAAAGTTCTCATGTATTCAAAACGCTTTCAAAATATATTACAATTAAACCAGAACCTCTTCGTCCATCAAATAGTTTCATAAGAAGTTCAACAAGTACATCAACTTCTTGGCAACGATATTGGGCATCAACACATGCACAAAGACGACGGTAACTTGAAAATTTTCTTTTTTTTTTGTTTCAGATCAATTTTTTTAATAGACAAGAATCCAATGATCCTGATACTGATACAAATCATCCAAAGTGTAAACAATCAATTCCTGGTCAAACACATTTTGTTGTTCTTCGGGATTCACCATTTCTTAATAGTGAACATCAAACTAGTGATGAAATAGCATCAACTGTACTAAGTAGTTGTAGTCTAACTAAAGTATCTACAACAGCTACAGTTGATAAACGAATATTCTCAAAATACGAAGATGATATTAGTGCATTAACAACACAAGTTTCTTCAATAGAATTTGTTGGATCATCATTAATTCCATCATCAGTTGAAATAAATTCTTCTAGAAATCTATCAAAACCAACAGCAATTATTTCATCAACATCAACAGATAAAGAGGATGAAAAAAATCTTCGGAAAATATCTTTATCATCATCATCGTCATCATCATCCTCACCATTACATTTTAAAAGTGTAAGCCAACTTATTGAAGAAATTGCTGATGCACAAAAACCAATAGAACCAATAACAACAAAAGTGTTAAAACTGTCATTACCAGAAGGAAAAACAAAACTTAAGAAACGTTCATCAAGAAGACGAAGATCACGATCAAAATCATCAGAAAAAAGACTAGTACGAACACCATCAGCATCAAAACGAAAACGTCAAATATTAACTTGTCAAAATTTATGCAACAAGTCTAAACCATCATCATTATCAACAATATTGACAACAACATCAAGGTCAAAATATTCAGGAAGAAGATGGGATGAACCTTATATTGGTCTTCGGTTTGACCCACCGACACCACCATGTTCACCATCATTATATATTTGGCCTCAAGATAGTGATGAAGAAGACAATCACACATCACTTGAAAAATCAGAAATATTTGAACATAATTCAACTGCTAAGGGTTTAAAAAGGTGTGAATTTTGAATAAATATATTTTCTTTTGTATTTTTTCAATGAGTTGTTTAATAACGTATTGCATTCTTCAAGAAACTTCTGTATTTTTTTTTCATTTAGCCATCAGTACCTATGTAATATTTAGTTACCTTGAAAGAAAATACTCAAGAAGATTAAAACACACAATCTCTCTCTCTCTTCAGTCGTTTGCAAAACAAATAAAGCAAAATGAAAATATCTATCGTTTTATTTGGTTTATTTCTATTAAATTATAACTACTTTTATACACCTTATTTTATTTAAATAGAAAATTTTTTTTTTAATACTGTATTTTTATAAATAATATTATTGACAAAAAATACTTACTCAAAAAAAATTTTTTTTTCTGCACTACAGATTGTGTTATATCAAGTGCTGATTGAATATCAATTAAATCACCAAGATTTGATGGAATAATATATTCATCAGTATTTTTTGTGATTTCAGATAGATTTAAAAAACCATCTAGTATTGTTTTAACGTAGTTTCGTATATGTATAAATAAACATTTACGTTTTGATAATCCACCACCAATAACAATACGTTTAACTGATGTTAAATAAATAATTGATACACATAATTGAGTTATATACTATGCTTGTATATTCCATACAGAATCATTGTCTGGAACTGTATTGAGTTCATTTGGTAACATATGAAGACGATCAGCAACAGATTTCGCATTTGACATACCATGAAAACATGACTTATGATATTGACAATCATCAAGATAATCATGATCAGAAAAAAATGTTCACATTGAATGTGAGCACCTTCTGGATGCATTAGATCATGAACAGGAAGATTTACAATCACGAGACTAACACCTGCACCTATTTCCAAAAGAATTAATCAACTTGAATAATCAGACCTGTTTCAATAGTAATATATGCTATTAATGAATCCCCTTGAATTACAGCTTCAGTCATTACATGTGCATTAACATCAGTTACACAAGTAGTTGGTACATTGAGACCTTGAAAAGTATCAACGACATTTATATTCTGCCAACTAGGTTTTGGAGTTGTTGTTATAAATCCATAGGTTTTACTTTTCTTATCTAGATCAATAGGTCAAAAACAGGCAATGCCAAGCGCAACAAATGGTCGTTCTAATTTTTTCGATGCTAATCAATCGTACACTCGATGAAAAGTATTTTTTTGGAGTTGTTGTCGAAATTTGTAATGAATATTGACTATCATATTGTCCATTTTCATCACTGATAGCTACTTTACATCCTGTAACACCCATTTCGATACCAGCTACAATTGATGGTATCGTTATTTTATTTTCTTAAAATATCTAATATGAAACAAAATTCTATATTCGAAAATAAACAAAACAAGATTGTTTGATTTCAATGTCATCAGATCAAGAAAAGAAAGTCTTGTTTTTCCAGTTAAATTTATGCGACATATAAGAGAACACTATTTTTCTATGAATAAGCGTTTATAACAAAATAAATTATCATCTTCCTATCAGCTGGATATGAAATCAAGTCAACAAAATAAAATACAAATGCGATATATTTTGAATGGTGTAAACAAGGAAAGAAGAAAAATAGAATGGAAATGTTTAATACATAAACAAGAAAAAAAAAATTACTTGCTATTTTAGAAGAGACACATAGCTACGTATGTCAAACAATGATAAAATTACAACTCTTTTTAAGAGAAAATATCGATTAACATTTTATTTGAATAATAATACGAATGTCTACAATTTTTTTAATGATGGTAGTACAAGGGTTTTGTCTGGTCTAAAAGCTAACATTAGACTTTTTTAAATGTAAATATGAAACAAAACTACGAAAAAAATCTTACTATAATTTCTATACGTTCTCATATATTTAAATATGTTATTGTATCTTGCATATATAAAACAAAAGAACGTTGCATGAGAAGAGAACATGTATCGTAGCATTAGCTTTTTTTACTATTTTATTTCTACTTGAGAAAATTTTGTTTTGACTTTGGTTTAAATAAGAAAAAACAATAAATTAATAGGCATTGGAAATCAATTTGATTTAAAAAAAAATCATCTTTCATAAGAATTATACATCATCTAGTATATTTAAAATATTGAAAAAAGAATACTTGTCTCAAAGATAAAAAAAAGCTTGTATATATATACAGGGTGGCCCAAAAGTCATGTTACCCAAAAAAAATTAAATATCTTCCTTATGGCTCGAGCAAAGAAGCTGATTTTTTTATCAATGATGGAGGCATCGTCAGGCTTTATATCTATAAGAACAAGGTCAGGAAGAACCCCATATTAAGTAGCACTAATGAACTCAACAAAGAAAATTTCACTTTTCACAGATAGGAAAAGCAATGTCCAGGATAGGAAAATACAAGGTTCTTACAAAAATGATTCGTCTATCCCTCTTTGTAGAGCTATCTTCGCTGATCATTTTGGTAAAAACAAAATTCAAAGTTTACCAATAAACAATGACACTAGAGTCAAAATATTGAAAATCCAAAACAGCTCTATCTGCTAGAGCTAAGACGTTTTTTCAGTATTTTAACTCTAGCATCGTCGTCTATTGGTAAAATTAAAATTTTGTTTTCACCAAAATGATCAGCGAAGAGAGCTCTACAAAGAGGGATAGACGAATCATTTTTCTAAGAACCTTGTATTTTTGTCGCTGACTGCCCACAGAAGTCCCGCACCATACTCCCACTGTTCCATAATTCTCTAGCCCATAGTCATGCTATGGATTGTCAGCTATACTCATATATCCCATTTTTAACGGGCTTTCATTTGCCATAAAGCTCAGTTTTATATCATTTGTAGTTGAAGCTGTACCTCCATGAAAAAATACTATTTTCTACCATGTACATTATTTTTCCTATTTGTGAAAAAGTAAAATTTCCTTTGTTGAGTTCATTGGTGCTACTTAACACAGATTCTTCCTGACCCTGTTCTTATAGATATAAAGCTTGAAGATGCCTCTATCATTGATAAAAAAATCAGCTTCTTTGCTCGAGCCATAAGGAAGATATTTAATTTTTTTTGGGTAACATGACTTTTGGGCCACCCTGTATATATCGTAGACCAATATTGGATTCAGGCCAATCTAAGATTTGCCTACGCTAATCTCGGATCCAAGAATGAACTAGTTCAATGCTGGATAAGGAAAGAAGTTTTCACTAAAACCTCCGTAACTGTCTACATAGATGTTGGATAGGAATTATTGTTGATGAACTGTATTATCACAAAGGCACCTCACGTCTTGGAATAGACAGTGAAGAAATTAAAGGAGGATTCATGAAGTTATGGGTAAGTTTCTACAGAAGAACAGCTTTTATGGAAAGTTGTCCATGAGCGTTCGAGTCCGAACTTATTTCTTCACTAGTGATTGTAAGACCTGAGATGCCATTGTGTCAACGCTGCTCACCAACAAGAATTCCAATACAACATCTATGTAGACAGTTACGGAGATTTTAATGAAACTTTCTTCCCCAATCCAGTATTGGACTAGTCCATTCTTAGATCCCAGACTGAACTACGATATATATGTATATAAAAGAAATAAAATCACCGAAATAAAGCTGCTCGCACTTTTTCGATTGTTCCCATTGTTTTCCTAAATCTTGGAATTTTGTTAAATCACATATAGCATAGTAACCCAAATGAATCATAAGACCAATAGAATGTTTACAGACATAGGTCTTTAAATTCGCATTAAACACATGTGTGTGTTGGGTATTGTAACGCATTGAGGAGTATATAACCAAATTGTTAATTTGAAAAATGATGTTCATGATGATGATTGATATTCTTTTAGTCAAACTGAAATGTTATGATATTTGCTTTTCGATGATGGAACAATATGTGAAGACCGAAACTAATAAAATATTGAGTTCTTTTCAAGTTGATTTCCATTACTATTAATTTATTATTTGTTACCTTAGTTGAACTGTGCGCAAAACAGTGGTGTTGGTGGACTGGGAAAAATTTTCATCCCTTCTAACTTATGCAAGATAGCTATTGTCTTTTATGTTCTTTCTTTAAACTGCTTTCATTTTAATAGTAATCATCGTTTTTCAAATCTTACTTAACATTTGTTTTCACTCATGAATATTAAACTAAGAATCCAAAGTTGATATAATAAAGAGAAGAAAAAAGATTTCAAGAATGTTGACATGTCGAGATTGTCTCTATGGGATGCTTAAGTTTTTATATATTGGCAATCGACATTTGCTTGCTTTCGTTCGTTCTTTTTTTTGAAGGACTTGTAACACAAAGCGACCATCTTGTCTTTTTTTTTGTATCATGCACTGAATGGTTTCAAAAGTCAGTGACCGCAAAAAATATGAATATCTCCTTTGTGCTTCAACCAAATCAGCTATTTTTCCAATTATAGAAGAACGATCCAAGTTTTCATTCTTATGAGAGAAATTGATAAGCCTTATTCAAAACTATCCATATTGACTGACTTTGTATAACTTTATATAATTTACTTATTATCGATGAGAAGGTCATAAATTTTGAAAACTTTATATCTGAAAGAGACGATATCCAAAGATTCTGAATTGTTCTATACATGCTAGTCTAAGTATGAACTTTGTGTAAGTTAAGTTTCAGGTCAAAATTTGATAAACAAATTTTAATAAAAATGTGCAGTCCTATTGAGATAAAAATTCAATAGCTCGGTTAACACGCTACAAAGATATGAATCCTTCGGAAGTTGTTTTAATCTAGACGTCCCATACTAATGGGTAAAATATGGACTCAACAGCATCTAATAAATGCAAACATTCCTCACTAAACCTTCCTGTAGATCAGAAAACAGCTTAATTTTTGTATTGCAGTCAAGAGTGGTAGCTTTAAACATTATTTGTTAATGTCTTTCATAAGAATAAAAACTTGAATCTTTCCTGTATCATCAGATCCAAATATTAGCTGAATGGATTAAAACACAATGGACAGTATTCAAATTGTTTTTTTTGTAGGTGAACTTTTCAGACGCCCTTGTATAGATATACTTTCTTTCATTGAACATTTTATGCATAATATGAAACATTATATACAGATGGTGCAATGAATATTTGTTAGCTGCATTTGTTAGATAAATCAGTATCTAGTGCATACATGAACAACATTTCAACTAAAAGTTTTGTATATTCCTCTACCAACTATCCAAAAGATGAGAAATATAAATTTCTTATCAATTTCCCTTCAATTCCAAGACTTGGAAAATCAAAAGAGTCTACTATTGTTCATGATATATTTGACACCAATATCTGCATGTATAAAGTGGTAGGAATGAATACATTTCTAGATATCGAAAATATTCTACAGAACGCATTGTATAGACAAGGATAAATCAGGCAACAGAAAACCGGTTCCAGATTTCTTAGAGAATTTTCATACGTTTGCAAACAGTTCCTCGATAGTTTAGAAACTTTTATTTCTCAATTCTTAAATATTGCTATCTTAACTCAACTCAAGCGTAACATTAATTACGATATAAAAAGGATAAAATCATAATCAGGTAACGATGAAATCTATGTTTATAGCTTATTGTTCTCGGGGTGATCACATGTTCAAACTGATACTATCATTTTGTTGGAAATACTATGAAAATGATAAAAGAAAAAGAACACTAATGATAAAAAGTATATAAAATATCAATTAACAAAAAATCAAGCATTCTACTCATGAGTTTACCAATATTTCTATTATGATATCTTATCTGATTGTTTCATATTTCAATCAAATTATACAAATATTTGTTACATATTTGCTAATATTTCTTATCGACATATGTGAACAAGTAACGACATCATGATTAGATGTATTCGTGTTCTGTCTGATGATTTGTTCGGTATCAACTAATCTTATTTTACGTTTCTACCACTGCTTGTTGTACCTCCCTCGTTGTATTTACTTATTTATTTGTTTTAACTAGAAGATAAAGGGAATTGGCCAAATTTAGCATTTATCTATAGTTCCTTCAATTTTTCCCACGGAAGAATTTCTTTGTTAAACATTACGCAAAGCAAATAAATACATACATATTTATGCATTTAACTGTTACATGTAATTTCTTCTTTTTTCTAATACTTTCTTAGATTAAATATCAACAATGAGCAGTGAAATAGCCATCAGTACAATTGAAACAGTTAAAAAGAAACTTGAAAAATATAATTCTTCGAAACAAAATGATAAAGTAAATTTCTCTTTTTGTTTTATTTTGCTAATTGATTTCAATTTTTAGGTCGAAGAATACCTTCATAAATTGCATAATACATCGATTACTCCAACATTACTTCGAGTAATATTCAAATTAGAATTTTAAAATAATTATTTTATTATTATTCCTTCTTAGGAGACGAAAATAGATGTTCTCGTTCGTCAACTTGCATCGAACAAAGAAGCAAGTTATTATCCAACAGCTAAAAGTCTTCTTAAAAAATGGCACGACAAAAATCTATTATCAAAAACAATGAATACATCCAAAGTTAGGACGACAACAAATACGAAAAAATCAGTCACTGAACATATTCTTTCTGTTAAAAGAAAATCTAATGATTATGACGCAACATATTCGAATACATTAAGGTGTGAAATAGAAATTCATTGAAATAAATTCATTCCTTCTTTGATTTTTCTAGTGAATCTCAATCATCTGATGAATTTAAACATAGTGATCGAGATCAATCATCATCGATTAAAAAACGTAAAGTTCTTTCTCTGGCCGAATATGTTGTTAATAAAAAACCAATGCCATCTTCACTACCTACGGTTGACTCAACTCAAGATAAATTAACTGATACTCAAATCAAAGAAATCTATGCTCAATTTGATGCTACATTTGAAGAATTGGCTGCTAGTGCGCCTGATCTTGCTAACAATGTTAATAAGAAATTAAAACAAAACGATACAATAAATAACAATCGAAATGATTTCATTGCTAATAATCATAATTTAAAAATAGCAACAATTGAACAACCCAAAACAAAATATAATGATATTTGGGCAGAAGAAGACGACGACGACGACGACGACGATGACGAGGATGATAATGACAATGTTCATCATAAACAAGAAATTACTAAAAAATCTCAACCTATTAAAAACAAACAAATAGTGAACAATAATAACCTTGATAGTCAACAAGTAATGATAAACTATATGAGTTATATTTATGTTGTTTTTTATTTAAATGCTATTGAATGTTTTACCAGAGACCGAAAATGAGCCGAACCTAAAATAATTTTCAAAAATCGAGTGCATGTAGACAAACCTATAAGAAAAATGGTTGAGGTATCACATTTTTTGTAAGCTTGTGTTGCTCTGAGCATTGATCAAACGATGTTTCATCGATTGGTTTATATCAGAGACCAAAAACAAACCGAACTCGAACCAGTAAAACTTGGTTCGATTCGGTCTCTGGCTTATACAAGTTATTTGTTTAATTTTTATAAACAAGAGAAATTTCATAATTTATATTTTAGGTAAAAATACCATCAGCGACTGCAACAAAAAAAAAAGGAAATAATTCAATGATCTCAGCAATTACACCAAGTGTTGCTTCTTTAGAATATTCACAGCCATCATCTAATTCATCGAAATTACTACCTGCTACTGTCCCAAAAAGATCTGGTATAATTAAGGAGTGAGCCGAAAGTTTCTTCACAAAATATTTGACTATGTTACTTTTGCGTATTTAAATGTATTGGAAAAAGTGAGAAATAGTGTACTATAATCAGAATTTTGTGCTCTTTCAGAATTTGACTATTGAGCTATAAGTAAATCTTCACAGTACTCAAAACAAAATTCTGAGGACGCAAAAATCTTATTTTTCTGAATGCAAGTCTATATAAAATAACTTCTGTAAATATATAATGCTTGAGGATGATCTCTACTCTACAAAAGACACAAAAGTTGGAAGTGTTGGTTAGCTTGCTAAAAAATGGCTGAGTTGTGACTGAAGGTTATTTTGTGTTGAAAGACAAAAATTGGAAAAATAGCCATTTTTCTTGCAATTGATTTTGAAAAACCTTTGCTACATTCCCCAAATTTGCAAAACAATTCATTTAAATATATTGTTTTTTTGTAGAGAATTATTTTCTGTATCTTTCAATATATTCGATACAATATTGTGACATGTTTCAAACAAGTTTCATTTGAGACTTTCTTTTCCAAAAGAACAATTTTTGAATTCTGAATATTTACTTATAGCTCAATAGCTAAATGTTAACGAAAAATTCTAAATATATACTTTACAAGAGCTTAAAACTCTAATTCTAAAACACTACTTCTCACTCTTTTCCTATCGATTTGAATACGCAAGAATTAATCAAATATTATGTCTAGAAACTGTCAGTCTATCTCCTATTTAAGTTGCTTAAAAACAAAACTTTTATCATATTTATTTAATATTTAGCTCCAGCTTTTAATTTTCTTCGTCCAAGACAAGGACGTCAGGCTATCTACTCTGGTGTACGTGCTTCTCGTACCAGTGTTCCATCACTTCAAGATCTTTGTGTTGAAACACTTAAGGAGCATGTTGACGGTATGAATTTTCTAAACTTTTAAATAATTAAATGTGTTCTTCTTTTGTATAGACATATGTCATACACATTTTTTTCGACTTCCTTATGATGTAGTTAAACCAATTATTGACGTAGCAACACCTGAACAACTTTATTCTATAATTGATAATAATCCAGTATGAATAATTGTTATACTTTGAAATAATGTTTTTCATTTTATTTGAAGGATTATTGTGATGATGTTGAATCATTATGGCAACATTTTTGTTCATTACATTTTAAAGATGCTGAACGAGAAGAAAATGAAACTTATTATGAACTTTATTGGGTAAAAGAATAAAATAAAATAATTTTTCATTTTAGAGAAATATTTGTTTGTTTTGTAGCGCAAACGCAATGAAAAAGAAGAACGTTTACAACAAATAACTGAACTTGCAAGAAGAAAAAAGGCAGAAACAATTGATACAAGTAAATTTCATATTAATGTAAATTTCTAATCCGATTTTTTTTTCTTATAGCTCGTCATACAAAACCACTTAATATACGTCAACCTACTAGCCATCATAATATCACTTCAAATAAAGTTGCTCGACAAGTTGTTAATCTTCCATCATCAAAACATCACCGAGGACAAGCAAAAGTTAAAAGTAATATTAAAATTATTGAAAAAAAAAAGAAAGATTCAGGACCATTTCGCCGACAAATATTTGTTTTCAACTTTGTTGACAAATTTTTATTCTTTGACAGGCCATATTTGAATAATTAAGAGTTTGTTCGACAAGGCACAAGCAATAGAGAATAACAAAAATCTTAACTCCACACCCTCACCAGAATTGTAACCAATTCGACCCAGTCGGATCGGTTGAAATGTTTGAACCAGGCGGTCTTCACCCATTCTTATCGTTGGAAAATATATTATAGATATGCTATTTTGTGTCTAATAAAATTAGTTGCAGGAAAGTTAGCTTGCTCTGATCAAAATAACCAAATAGTATTGTTTCAACGACTACTGGTTTTATTTTCTTCTGTTTGTCCAAACTTTTTTATTTCTTTAATCAAATTATATTTCATTTTTGTAAAAATCACAACCAAAAATATGTTACTTGAACTAAACTTATTTCATTCATGTTTTGGTAAAAATCGTATTTTAGATTTGTATCATCGTTCGTAGGGAAACGTTAAATTTGTCTAAAAAAGCTAAGTCAGATAATTGAAAATTTGGAGTTTTACTATCAGTTGGTGGGTAAATGGCTCTTTTTTCACGCTATGTATTTCATATCACATATTCATATTCGAGAAACCCAACAGGTATAGAAGACTGCAACATGATATTTCTTCTTGGAGTTTTGTAAAAATCTGAGTACAAAAAGAAAAATGAATGTTTTCTGTAACTATTGCTATTAACCAGTTAATAATGGTCCAAAAAATAGATTGAACCGGAGTAGTTCAAAAGTTATCGATCGATTGCAACTCCAACCTAAATTTATACATGCCAATACCAATAATTACACATACCTAGGGGCATAGCCAGTATTTTTCTAAGAAGATGCGTATCAGTAGAAAAATAAATCGTTGTTTTGTGAAAGGCTTTTTTTAGTCAAGAGGGTGCACAAGCCACTCCTGCATCCAGATTCTTATTCGTTTGGATAATAATCAATGAAACATTAGTAGAAATCTACTTCCACGTGGCATATCACTTCCTAAAAACAATCAATATTTATTGTGCACTTAATTGAATGAGACTTAACTTGCCGATCAAATGTTTAATTATTAGATTGCGATCTGTCACAAGAAGAAAAAGTTGTCGATAAAATAGAAAAAATATTTGTCGGCGAAACAGGATTATAGAGAATGTGCTTGACGCAACAGGATGATACCAAAAGAAAAAATATTTTTCTTTGTTTTTTTTTCTATCTTTTAGAACCAACAATGCCACCATTACTCAAAAAAGCCCTCAAAGTCTATAATGGAAAAAACTAAAGCATATATGTATATATCATTATTCATGCTAATGATAACACTGTGCACCTCATGTTTTTCATTTTTCTTTCCTTTTTTCTTTTTTTTTTGACAGAAATACCACTATTTTTTATTCCATAATATTCATTCTTACCATAGGACGAAATCGAATTTATATAATTATTTTTAGTTTTTGATTTGTTATATGTAATAGTAAATCAAACACAAAAAAAAAAGAGGTTCTTGGGTGCATGCATTTTTTTCTGTAGTTCGTTTTGTGTATAACAGACAGACAGGTGCCATTTAGTTTAAAGGTGTACGTTTATTTATTTTTTGTTTGGATTCTTAAACTATTTATATGATGATCAATGTAAATAAAAATAAAATAAACATTGATTGACGACTTGGAAAAAAAGCAACGAAATAACATTGTTTTTGTAGATGATAAAAAATTATTAACAATAGGTAATTATTTTCTTTTTTGGCTTTTTGTTTTAGAGTGAAATATCAAGTTTATGATTCTAGTTTCTTCAAAACGTTGATCTGTCTCTTTTTCTCTTGTCACTTCAATTCATTGTACATAATCAATATCTTATTTATTTTCTCAGCACTAAAACAAAACAAGAAACAACAATAAAAGCCATTATAAATTATTTTAATCTTTACAGTGTTTTTAATTAAACTATGTCAACAACAACTGTTCGTCAAATACCTATTACATGCAATGGTCATACTAGACCAGGTTAGTTGAAAGATGAATGAGAATTCTTGAAACGAATTGTTTTTCTTTTGTTTTTCTTTTAGTCGTTGATCTGCGTTTTAGTGATATAACAAAATACAGCTACTTTCTTATAAGCGCTTGCAAAGGTAAATTTTAATATATTTGGATATAATATTCTGTAGAATAAGCATATATTTTCGGAGAAAATAATGAGTATAAGCTGTAAGTCGCAGTATCGTAGCTCCCCATTACAGAGTTTAGCAATAAGAATTAAAGATCATTTATTAAAGTTTTACAGCTTCTCTCGCATCATTACAGACCTTCCAACAACGACAAATTCGACTGTTGGAAATGACGTCTTAAATTATTCACAACGGTATATTACTTCATTAATTTTCATCGTGCTTCGCCGTAATCCCGCGGCTCGTATTACGAGTATACGAAAAAATGGCGACGCAAAGACGCCAACTTTCGCCATTTTATTTCGTTTAAAGTGTTGTTCTCTTCGACCTTAGCTAGTAATCGAAGTTGAAGATGATTAAGTAAGTTTCCATAGCAACCGCAAGTGTAAATCAATCATTTTAATACCTTTATCACTCGTATTTACGCAAGCAAAAATAAGAGCTCTCCAGTAGCGAACAACATTGGTTGATATTTTACGAACAAAGGGAGAGGCAAACAAATGAAAGCGTACAGAATCAGAGTACTAATACGTGCACTACTAATAGTGAGGCCATGTTTTAATGTACAAAAAAATTTATATGAGTTCCATATCGCACCATCAGAGAGATTACGCTAACAAGCTTTATTTTTGTATTTTTTTCTTTCAAAAACTTTCTAGATGGCATCCCAATGTTACGCGAAGGTGATACCGGCGACTGGTAAGAATCTTTGTTTTATTTAATAGATCAATTTTTTATGCATGCTTTATAGGATTGGAAGTTTTATTGGTCATAAAGGAGCTGTATGGGGAGCAACTATAACAGGAAATGCTGAATTAGCTGCAACAGCTGGTTCTGATTTTACTGCAAAATTATGGGACGCAAATACGGGTGCTGAATTACAAACATTCGAACATAAACATATTGTACGTTCTGTTGATTTTTCACCGATAAATAAAGAATGGTTGTTAACGGGATCAAATGAAAAATTAATTAAAATTTATGATGTTACTGCACCAACAGGTTGGCTTATTTATTTCTTAATAAAAAATAATATTTCATAGCTAATTATTTCTTTTTGTTTTTTTTTTTGGAGAACCGGTAAAAGTTTTTAATGGTCACACAGGTGCTGTTAAAAAAGCAATTTTTATGGATGCAAAACGAATTTGTACAGCATCTGATGATAAGACTATAAAGTAAGTTTAAAATTGAAGTAAATCAAATCAATATCTTTTTATTTTCAAGAATCTTTGATATTGACTCAGGAGATTGCATATCAACGATTGATTTTCCTTCACCACCAAATAGTATTGAAATTTCACGTGATGGCCAAGCTTCATTGCTTATTACACATGGCAAAAAAGTAGAAATCTATGATGGCAATAAGTATGTTAATTTTAATTTATAAATTTTTCTTCAATCGATTTGATATCATAGTTTAAATAAATTACAATCATTTGAAATGCCATGTGAAATGAATACAGCTTCATTTCATCCAACTGCACGTGAATTTGTTTGTGGTGGATTAGATTTTCGTATTTATAAATATAATTTTGAAACGGGTGTTGAACTTGGTAAATACTAATACAAAACAAACTTTCTTAGAGAAAACGTATTTTTATTTTTATAGAATCATACAAAGGTCATTTTGGTCCAATACATTGTATGTCATATTCACCTGATGGTGAAGTTTATGCATCAGGTAGTGAAGATGGAACGCTACGTTTATGGCAAAATACAGTTGGCACTACTTATGGTTTATGGGAAATGGTTAATGTATAAGATTTGCAATATCATTCTCATACATGTTGCTTTCTTTTTTTGCCTGGTGATCTATTGTTATCTTTTTTTTTGTCTTTCTTGATATTCATGCGTGTGTATGTGCTTATACAGAGCATTAGGTCAGTTAAAAACAAAAGAATCAGTAACAACAAAAACAACAACAATAAACATAAAATGTGTGAGTGGATGACGAACAATGCATTTTCTTTACGATATTAGAAAATTTATTGATGACAATAATTTATTTTCTTAGTCATAGATCATGCTATTTTGAAATTTTGAAAAGAAAACAAGGGGAATGAATATATTAGCATATAAACAAACAATAACGAGTATAATTTTAATGGCTATTGCTATGCGACAACTAATTTAAGCGATGATGAATATAAGTGTGTAATAATGTTCTGTAATCCGCTCGGGCACTCGGTCTGGCCCAGAGCATGAATCCAAGTGCAAACACATCGGATCAATTCAGGGTGCTAGCCATAGTCTCATACCACGATCTGCTCCAGCCATTAATGAGATCTCGACGATTCAAAATATGTTTCATTTTTTAGACTACTAATTTATATACAAGCGTAGAAGTGGAAATCGATTCGATCATGATTGAATAATTTATTTTGCTTGAGAACAGATCACAGAAGTAGAGAACGATATTGTGTTACTAAAAGAATTCATTTTTCATGAAAAGTCATCTAGAAATGATAATAAATGATATGACGAAGTAACTGAATACATGGAGAGTAAAATGAGTTATCATAAACGTGAACATACATATATTATTGTGATGGAAAAAACAATCATGTATGTATTCACAATTATGATGCATGGTATCAATACTGCAGTCCATTTCTGCGTCCTCAGCAATCAAAAACCATATAAGTGAATTGTTATTCACTGCTTTTCTGTAAAATTTCCGATGATCTCTTTTTTTGTTGTTGCTATGTATGGAAGAAAATAAATAATATACTTTTTCATGTAAAATAAAAGTTTGGAAACCGTACTCTGACTGTGAAAGTATCTGTCGAATGTAGATTAGTTCTGGTCGGGTGTTGAATACAGTTCTTCGAACCTGGATCAATTGCAAAAATTCGTACTTGTGCAAGATACTAGTTTATAACTGTAATAAAGTTAATCACAGTTTAATGCACATGTATTGCTTTGTATCCGGTCAAGAATTGTGAAAATTACGATGTATGTCAAGTTTTGATGAATTTCATAGTAAGCAGATCATTTTCTTATTATTTAAAAAATCGCTCGAGATGGATGTATGTTTTTACTTGAATATAATATGAATGATCGATCAGATTCGCAAGAGAACCTATTTATTGATGTTATTCTAAGCGCTGGTGCACTTGATATTCATTTCGATTTCAATAATTAAGAACTACTTGTATATATTGATTTTTAATCAAGTAATAGTTTTACACAATCAAGTGAACATCAAAAACATAAATAGAAACAATTATGAATAGTTTCTATTTATTTATTGCTGCTGCTAACACTACCGATCTTTTTCTATTTCACTCCTTTTCGACCTTCTTTATTAATTTTCAGTGAAAGCAGAAAATGAATTTTTTTTTCAATTTAAAACAAAATAATGAACATTTTTCATTCAATAGAGATTCTATTGATATACTTGCTTTTAGTCGTATATCAACAGAATATTATTATATGAGCTCAATAAACATATATTCATTTGCATTTTCTTGTTCTGATTACGAAAGTTTTTATTCGCAGTCTATATACATTATGTGATTCTAATGGTAATCAATATCAACAAACCACATATCATGGATCAGTTAATCGTAGACTTGGTATATATTATACCTTATGACATCATTTAATGCTAAGCCGCTTCAGTTTGATGTGATAAAAAAAAGAGCAGAACAAATAAAAAAAAACAAAAAATATACACATATGGCATTGATAAACAGATTAAACGAAAGGTTTCATCTTTCAAGACTTTCATTTAAAGGTAACACTTAAGTTAAACATGGACAATGAATAGCAAAAATGATGCATTATCAAAGTTAAGTGCAATGAACAAATAGAGACGACATCATTATTCAACTTAGTATAAATGATTTACTCAGCTGAAATCAATACAAATAAATCGTTATTTGTTTCCTATAGTTAAGATAAATTGATCAAGTAAAATTCTTCAAGTTCAAGAATACTATCAATTGTGAACAATAAAATGTTATTAAAAGAAACTTCTATATCATTCTGATAATAGTCATAACATGAACTTCACTGTGAGATCTACGGATTCATGGTGCTTTCAATAGAAGACTATCTACCACAAAAATTTATATTATTTCTCTTCTTTTTCTCTAAGGTTACAAATTTTGTCCAATATTAAATTCATCATGAACGACAAAAAAAGCATATAGTTCTCATTTAACATATCAATTGTTTGTTTGATTCAATGAGAAATAAAAACACGATGACATTTGTTCAGCTTCTGTGTGTATTACAATATACATTTAGAAATATAAAAGTTCAAAAGGCACTCATATACATATATGAACTATATAGTCATAAAAGAATTTATACTATAGCATACGCCTTCTATCATCGATGGATGTACAGTAATAAAAAAAAAAAAAAAAGAGTTCAGATTCTCTTTTTTTCTCTCTTGCTCTCTTTCTGATAAGAGATACGATCCATTATGCTCGTTTTTTTTCTTTCTCTCTGGTTCGTTTATAACAAGCGAACATCGTTTATCATTCGAATAAGTATTTCCAGGGTGTGAACATTCAATCAACATTCATCTGTGTATGTGCATGGAAAACTAAAACGAGCTAATTCGTTCTTCGAATTTATTTACTTCAATGCAAATAATAATTCAATGATTGGTGAGTTTTAGTGACGTAATTTTCGAGTGAATGACACCTGCTGTCATCAAATATACTATTACTTAGTCATCCATTCGATGGAATTAGTTGTCTTGTTGATTAGAAAGACTGTTGTCATACTATAAAAAATGCTTAATCATATTTTCTCTTCATTCCACTCGCCAGGGGGCAAACACTTGTGTCTGCTCTTCTTAGTCTTGTATATATGTGTGCCATTAGTAGCATTTTTCTCAAGAAGGTACCTATCCTATATTTCTCGTCAAGGCTTCTTTTTGTTCCATTGCTCGTTAATCATGATAAATGTTCAATTAGCGTCGTCTATTTTAATCGTTCCTGTCTGTTTCATGAATGTCTATGATAATCATGGCATTTTCCTATTTGTTTGTTTTCCTGAATATACAAGAACATGATATCGAGTCATCTTGAATTTGTCAGTATACACCAGCACAATATTGCCGACATCATCATCAAAAACAAGAAAAAAAAGGAATGGAGAAAAACAAGAGAGATTAAAAGAAAAGTTCAGCAAGAAGAATATAGACAGATATCCGGGCACGCGACAATTAGGATCAAAATTGTTCGCGTCTGTACGATGATTGTATATGGCAGCTTTTAGGTCAAAGTCTGTTTCCGGTATAGATCAACCATACACGCATAAACTGACCCAAAAAAAGGACTATTCAAATGGTTGACTTTGTAGTTTATATTCCATCATTATTAATCCGATTATCTCTTTTCAGATGATTAGAAGATCAGAAGATATACGTATGTAAACGACATGTATATTTTCACACTAAACAGTCTACTATTCAATGAAACAGCTAATTTTCCTTGTTGTATTGACAGGATTATGAATGTCGACACATTCCACATCGATTATAAGTCTTCTTTTTTCCTTTTCTATCCTCTGACGTATTGAGAATTGTCCACTTTCTTTTTTTCCTCCTTCTCCTCTCCAATCAGTCTACAATCTAGTCTGATTGAACCTAACACAAGATAATCGAACATATTGTGTCCTCTTCTTGCATATTATATGAGTTGACGCAAGAAAAATCTCATAAATTTTTGAATTAATTGTTGTCTCACGATCTGATGCCTTCCATTTGTATCGGTAAGTTTTATTTCCTTTGATCTTTACCGTGGTGGTAACCATTGTTGTTATTATTATTTATAAAGAGAAAAAAAAAACGAAATAAAAAAATACTCATCAATCAGGCTGACGCACTTTATCTACCCTACAATTTCTTTACGTGTTCTCGGACTACCTATGAATGTATATAAATTTGATGACATAAGTTATATACAAGTTTGAAAGATTACATGACACACACATATGTATATACATATATATAAAGACTAGTGTATACAATAATGATGGCGTGCGTTTACTTCGCACCAACTTGCAATTAAACTCGATCAAAATGATATACTCCTTGGTGTTATTGTAAAGTCTAAAAGAAAAGAAACAGAGAGAGAGAGAGAGAGAGAGAGAGAGAGAGTATGTTGTGTCTGTTCTTCAAGAAAATGAACTTTCAATAGCCACCAGTTGCGTCTGAACCAGAAAGAAAGAGAACAAGCAATTTTCTACTACTCTTGTTGCTTCATCATCATCATCACTCTTCTCAATGTCTTTAGTAGATCGATGCAAGTGACTCTATATAGATGGCCAGTGGCTACGCGTGTCAACGATGTTCGCAATTACCTCCTCCACCTCCAATGTTTACTATCGGTCCACCACCAAATATATTATCAATTGAAGCTCATTGTTCATTACGTTCATTATCATCATCATCAATTGAAAATAAGAAAAGTACTTCATCATCATCTATATCAATCGTTTTGGGAATTATAATTGCTTTTCTTATCACATTCAGTACTGTTGTCTTGATCAAGTAAGTAAACTTTTGCTTATTCTCAAATCATTCATTATAAAGTCTCTCAGGTGTTAAAAAACGTGATTTAATTTCCATAATGAACAAATGACACTCATCTCTATTGTAAAATAATCATATATATATATGCACACACGCATTCATTTGTCTTTCTCAGCAGGATATTGAAAGTCATGATTTATTTTTCTGCATAGCACGTACACATTGTTTATTCGAATAGAATAGACGATGGCAAAATATTGATCCAATTTGTCCTATACGCGTGTATGAACGTACGTGCTGAATAAACATATGAGATTTTGTACATATGATAACATCTTTGTTATCGATAAATGATGAGAACAACAGTATTATTATTATGTATTTAACATTTGTCGAAAATATGTTTTTTTATTTTTATTTTTTATTTTTCGTGTAGAAAACGACGACAAAGACATAAATCAAGATTTGATAATACAATGAAGGTCACTTCTTCATCAGTCAAATTCAATAGACATCATCAACATAATAATAATAATAATAATCATCATCATCAAAATCGAACAGTAAGTCTTCTCATGACATTGAATAGACTAGCACAGAAGAAAAAGCATATGTAATGCTTTCTTATCATACAAAAGGGGTGTGAATCTTTGTAAATCTATCATGCAAGGGTAATCGGATAGACAGACAGACGTTCAAACAATTTGAACAGCTGACCAATTTTTGAATTAATATTGCCAATGGCAAGATAAACGAGAAAAGAAAAAGAAACAAATACATTTAACAATTCGTTTTTCTATTTATTGTCGTTTAAACAATTTGTATTTCAATTTTAGAAATTTCTTCCATTATTAAGCGATAGTTGTAGTAGTGATCAAACATCTAGTACACCACCAAATGAATATCCATGTACTAATGGTGTTATTGAGCCTCTATTAACATGTGATGTTCAACATGAATATGAACAAATAAAATCTGATGATTCATTATCTGAATCGTTACATTACTATTGTCTTATCTATTGTCGTCAATGTTCAAATTATCATCCGACATCATCGTCTTCATCAAGTTCATCATCACTATGTCCTCGACCAAATCTTATTCGACCATACTATTTACCTTTATCTACTAATCCAACATGTCAACACCAATGTTCATGTTATCATCGAACATATTATCAACGAAATGATAATCGTTTTCTTGAGCTTCAACCAATGTTAATGACAAGAATTGATAATAATAGTGACGATTCATATAATCATGTGAAATTTATTGAAGAAAAACTACCAATTTAAATAAGAATTATTATTATTATTATTATTAATTTTCGATTGCTGTTTTTTTTGTTTTAACCCTGTGATTATATTTGTTTGTTTGTATTTATATGTGCTGTGGTTTCTTTTACAAAGAGGAAAACAAGAAAAATTCAAGATTTCAATTGTCTAAATCGATAGATGGCATGCATTGTCTGAAAATTTCAATGATCCATTTGATTTTAATTAAAACTCAATCAGTAGAATAAAGAATGGATAGGACTTTTAGTTCTATTTTAAAAAGTACATCAAAATTTGTAAATAAATAATTTTCTGAAGTAATGTGAGTTTCAAGAAAAGTCGGGAGCTTACAAGTCTTCATTACATATACGTTAAGAAAGAAAAGAAAAGAAAAAATAAAATGTTTAATGCATTTACACACTGTTGAATCAAAGGACAAAATTTCCAACATTCATAAGATTCAAAATACTCGACAAAGGAGGTTAAATAGCGCTGAATTTTTACGTTTAAAAATTATTAAATGTCGTTAAATGCAACAGAAAATGATGCTGAAATTGCTCGAATTTTGGCTGAAGAATATAAGTTAGTTTAAATTTTTATATTCGTTTACTTTCATTTGTTTTCTTTTTCATTTCAAGTATTGTATCAGGTTCATTTAGTCCGAATTCATCAAAATCATATTATCCGGTTTCATCGGAAAATTTTATAATGAATGATACACAGCAAAAAGGAACGTCTTTTTCCGTAAATATATATCTGAATAATTATTTCCATTATTTGTATGAATAATGTTTTTATTTAAAAAAAAAGGAAACCCAAGATTGTCTACAACGATTTGAAGAGGATAGTGACATAGCTTTTATTTTACAAATTGAAGAAATTGTTTTATCAGAAAATAAAATTAATGAAAAAACGATTAAGTAAGTTAAATAAAAAGTGATGTAGTTTGCAGAAACAAAATTTATTTTTCTAGTATTACTGATACTCAATTAGAAAAAACTCATGAAGATATGACAAAAGCATTACAACCAACAAAAGAAACAGATTTAACGTTAGTTTAAGAAATTCAAAAAAAAAAAAAAATAAATAAATCTATTTTAATCAAATAGGACTAGAATTTTTGGTATGTTTGCTACTATACAAACACGTTATGCTAATTGTCAAACTAAAAATCAAGTGAATAGTTATATTAGACTTTGAACTTTATTTTCTTGTTTTTCTTTATGTAAAGGCTTTCATTGAACAAATCCAAGGATTATCAGTTCAATTATATCCATTATTAATATTATTTAAAACACAAGGAAGAACTGGTATATCAAGAGCAGCTGTGCCTAGCCTTGCTATTGGTCTTATTACGAGTAAATATTTACTAATTAAAACAAAACCGAATCTAATCTTTGTTTTTATTCGTTTAGATGTTCTACAAGGTAGAATACAATTTAATGATGCGAAAGAAATTATGTTCAATATGGTACAAATATGGAATGAATCTAGTATATGGTATGAATTTTTGGAACAACTGGTTTATATATTAGTTGCGATAACTGTACCATCATTTGCTCAAGGAGCTATGGGGAAAATAATCGAAAAAATTTCACTTGTGAAATAGTTGTTAATTCAATAAGAATTTCTCTTGTTGTATATTCTATTCTATGTTTATTTTTTTAATTCTTATTCCAGAAATATTCTTTTTCTGTCTTTTTCTTCTATTGTCCTGTAAGTGACAAGTTCTTTCTTACTTTTCTTCTTTTCTATTCACACAGTTAATATGTGCGGAAATTCTGAATTTAATATTCTAATGAAATATATTATTTAAATAATTAAACGTTTAATAGTTCTATTATGATTGGATGATTCACGAGGTGATTGAGACAAAAACAACAGTCTGGAACGATTTTTATTTTCAATTATGCTGCTACCAAGTCCAGTTACAAATCTATATATATATGATTAGATAAAACTTCTACAGTGAGCTCGATATCAGATTTGGCTAAGGTTCTATACGGCAGCACTTTTAATTCGCAAGATCCGCGCTACCAACCGTTCTCTAAGAGTGATATCTATGTAATTACTGGATTCGACCATGTAACTAGCCAATAAAAATAACAATTATGCAAATAAAAGATAAAGTAAATAAGAACGTAATAAAAGATCATTTTTCATTTTAGTTTTTTTCTTATCACTGAAAGAAGAACGACGAGCACGACAGAGTGAAATGATCAATTGATTGAAATTCAGTTGTATTGTTGCATTTCAACAATAAGTAGATATTTTTGTTCTATGCTCTCTAGTTTGACGTGTCAATTTGACCTTGATTAATCTTCTAATATAAAAGTACTGGATGTTTTTTGACCCCTCATTAAAACACTTTAAAACAAGAAAATGATCAAATGCATTGCTACGGTATCTAAGCAGCTTATTAGCTACAAAATTGTCGTTGTAAAAAAATATAGTATTCAAACTTACTACATATGCTGATATAACTTTTGTTTGATCTTTATCATTTGCTTGATTTAGTTTGTATTGCAGTAATACAAACAATGATAAATATGCATTATCAGCAATTGAGTAGATATTCCTATTATTGAATGTATTAGTTGGATTTAGTTACAATGGTATTGAATATGGGAATACAAGAAAATTTTTTTACATAGTTTCATTTTAATTATTAGAAGTTAATTTAATAATTTCATTTTGCATCTTATCATGATACAGACGAAGATACTAACTGATAGTATTACTTCATGACGACTTATATTAATCGGTTGATACTAGTTTAAGTTATGAGAACATTAATTTTTTTTCTTGATTCATTAGTATTTTTAGCAATGAATACACTGATTTCTTTTATTCGAACCTTCAATATTAAAAGGGACGGTAATTCATATTTGTAATACTACGTAGAACCTCTTTTTTTCTTCGTAATATAAAAGGTAACCTTACCTTTCATCTCAGGTAACAATATTGATTTTTCTCTTTCATTAATCGAAATCCACAATATGATTTGTACGAAAAAACAACAATGAAAATTCTTCATTTTGTTTTTTTAGATAGAATGAAGTTGTTTACTATTTTCTTTGTCCTATTATCAACTTATTGTTATTGCGAACCATTACTTGGTGGTTGGAAAACATCCGATGAAGAATCTGATAAACAAGAATGGTTAAAAATAGCACTTGTGAACATTCGTGGTAATGAAGTTCTTGACCAAGTTCAATCAGATGTATCTGATCTTGTTTGCGAAACACAAATTGTGAATGGTCTTAATATTAAATGTAGTTTTTCTTTAAGTGGAGAAAAATATCAATGTTCATATTATAAATCATTTATTCAACCATTTGATACTCAAGTTGAAAAATGTGACACAGTCAAAGATCAACAGGCACAGGAGGAAAATAAAAATGATCTGTCGTCGGAAGAACATAACGATGAAGAGGATATTGAAGATCTTCCAAGATCGAACAATGAGGAAAAGCCAGCAACATTGAACGACAATGAAAACGAAGAAAAACCATCAGCATTAGTTGATGATGAAGAAGATGATGAAGCTAAAATTGATGCAGTGTATAACAAATTCTCTGAAAATGATGGAATTAATGAAGACGAGGAAGATGATGAAGAATGAGACAAAGAACAACAAGAAGAATGATTATGATTTGTTTCGATAAAGTTCTTTTTTTCTCATATGTAATCGAGTAAAACTTTTATTACTTGCTTTTTTCTGAACTATTACTTATCTATTACTTATGTACATATAATTAATAAATTTTTCACAATTATACTCTAGAATAAGATGTTGACTCGGCTGATTATTCGATCATTTTTTCGTTTAACTCATCGTTGTTATTTGTCAAATTTAACTAACACAGAAGATGTAAATGATGACAGTACTCGTTGTGTCATAGATGATTCGTCAAAGCCTTTACCTCTTATTATTCCAACAGCAGGTGTTCCGATTCATCTCTATACACGTGAACTTGAATCTCAAGCATTAAAACAATTAACTATTTTAGCTGAAAGTGGTATTGTTAAGGGATTTGTTGCTGCTATGGCTGATGTTCATGTCGGTAAGATAGATTGAATCAGATGTTCACTAAAACTGTTTTTTTTTCTACTAGGTATTGGTGCTACTATTGGAACTGTGTTTGCTTCTATAACTCATGTATGTCCATATGCTGTTGGTGCTGATATTGGTTGTGGAATGATTGCTGCACCAATTGATGGCTTAGCATTAAATAATTTAAAAGAAAGATGGAAAAGAGAAATTCAACAAAAAATTAAAACAGCAATCCCAACAGGATTTGATGCAAGAGTGAAAGCACATAAAAAAGTTGATCGAATTATTCGTGATTTAGGTAAATGTACAAATTATTTAAAAAATGAAATATGTGATGTAACAAAAAAACAAGTAACAATATTAAATTTAAAATCAATTTTGTAATTAATCATGTTTTGTTTTGTTTTTCATGTTTTAGTTAGGTACACTTGGTTCAGGAAATCATTTTCTTGAAATACTTTACGATGAAAATGAACAAGTTTGGATTATGTTACATAGGTAAAGACATTGTTTATACGATAAAAATTTGTCAACGCACCTCATTGAGTAGCTAAAATGTGAAGTTCACAAATTCTGAGTGTTGTAAATTTATGATATATTTCTCTGAAACTTTATTATTTCGAAAATATTTGCGTTTTCAATTACCACTCTAGCAATTTATTACGTTCATTTAATATTGTTATACAGAAAACATTTATTTATATTGTCAGATATATCTTTAACGTAACTTCTTGTCTCCTTATAATAATATATATAATAGGCAAATATCCTTTTATTCTTCTCTTGATGGATTCAATCACAATAGAAGCCTGCTATGTACATTGATTTAAAATCGTTTAATAAGGTTTTGAACATACCATCTTTTCTCTCGTCGAAGTTTGATATATACTTGTTGAGTTATGCTTATAGTTAGAATTGAATTAGTTCATGCTTTTCTATGTCTATTCTATTCTAACTCTGTTAGATCAATGATACCACCATTTGACTGATTGACGTTGACAATAAGAGCTTTTCACTATATTAAATACTAAAACTCGCAATATTTAGACTAGTTAGAATCTTAGATTCATAGAATACTTTTAGAAAGTTCCAGAATAATTTCAGTATTGCTGTTACTGATGCGTCTTTTTTCGCTTCTTGGAAAACGTATTCAATTATCGTTGGCTTTTTCCAAAGTTCCACAAAAAATATAAGATGATTACTTTCAGTGGTTCACGTCGTATTGGTAAAGAAACGTGTGATTATTATCATAGTGTAGCTGGTCGTCAAATGTCAAAACTTCGTTTACCTGTTGTTAACGAATTAAAATACTTAGATATTGATTCAATCGAAGGTCAAGATTATTTAACAGATATGCGATGGTGTTTAAATTATGCTGAACAAAATCGTCGAATTATGCTAGATGAACTTTGTTCAATAGTTAAATCAGTTACTGGATATGAAGCAGATCTTAAACGAATGGTTAATATTCATCATAATTATTGTCAACAAGAAAATATTTCTTTTAATAATTCTAAGGAAGAATTGGTTTGGATAACAAGAAAAGGTGCTACAAGTGCACGAAAAGGTCAATTAGGAATTATTCCTGGTTCAATGGGTACTGGTTCGTTTGTTGTCGAAGGTTTAGGAAATCCTTTATCATTTTATTCATGTTCTCACGGTGCTGGTAGAATAATGTCAAGAACAATGGTTAGTTTTTTTATCATAGAGATTGTCTTTGCTGATAAGAGTTTTTTTTCTCTTCTTTACAGGCAGTGAAAAACATTTCTCAACAATCATTTGAACAAGCTATGGAAGGTATTGTTAGTGATACCAATGCAGCATTGAGAGATGAAGCACCACAAGCATATAAAGTAAATCAAAATGAAATATCACTAGTTGATGTTATTGTTTAATTTTAGGATTTGACAACAGTAATGAGTAATCAAGAAACATTAGTGAAAATTGTTCATCGTCTTAAACCACTTATTAATGTCAAGGGCATATCTGAAAGTAAGGTACGTTATTCAAAGAAGACAAGAAAGAAAAGATAATCAAATATAATAAATGTTTTTTGTAAATTTTAATCTTTTATTTTCGAGTAATTAATAAAAGATATGTGTATTTTGAAAAATAAAACTCATAAAAGAGTTTTCTAAGAACCAATCATTTTGTAACAATATAATGATATGTTAAATGAATATGATCAATATCGAATTTATAAGATATGCTTTTGAAATTAAAAAAAATATACTATGGATCACAAGATAATGAACAAATTTTTTTTCAAGAAAAGGAGATCATTTGAATACAATCTTGCTAAAATGTCAATCATAAAAATAAGCTCAGTAGTCAAAATAAAGATGAAAATAGCGTAGAGATTGTTGGAAAAGTAAAATATTCTTTGAGAAGGTTTATGCAAATTATATATATATATGTATAATAATTTTATGCAAAAATAAATGATCTCAGTAAAATATTATTTCGCTGAAATATGAAAAATTGAGTAAAAGGCTTTTTAAAGAAAATTTTTTTGTTACGCTTCTAATTATAAAATATATTGCGGATATAAGTACAATCCTTTATAATCTTCATATTATATGATGATTTATGACTGATCACTAACGTGCATTTGTCTTTGTCCTATATATAACATTTTGCTTGATCAAATATTGCATAAAATCTTTATCATAAATAAATATTTTATGCAGACTAGTTAGTTTCTCATATCATGTTACTATATTTTACAAATCAATCGTTGAATGAATACAAGATGAATTTGCTAATATGCAAAATAAGTTATTTGTTATTCTCTGCCATCACAAGCTATCACAATGCAAAATTTAGAAAGCCAATGATATGAATCGACAAAAACATGGTATGTAAAATTGCGTAATACAAACACATGTAGTTAGTATACGTACATCATTAATCTTTCAAAAAAAGAAAATAATGTTTCAATGAAGCGAATAAAATTTGTAGTAATACATGTGAGATCATCTCATTTAATCATTTAAATAAGATCAATATTAATTTCTATAATCATAGAAACATGGCAAGAAAAAAACGAAATAAAATACATATACAATTTTGTTCAATCTTTCAGTTAAATCTGAAGAAAAATATTTATTCTGATCTTCTGATTGCATATTTTACATCTCTTAAAACAAGAAGGACACCAATTGGTCGATTATGTAAGATGAATTCGTATCGTTTACAGAACAAGAGAATAAGATGAAATGAGAGATTTTTACATTACTTCTCTGTATGCATAAAATAAAATAAAAGAGTCATATACATTCATACATGTATATATATAGATCAAGAATATAAATATTTAAAGAAATTCTTCTTTTTTTGCCTTTATTATTTGAGAATTAACTTAGCTCAAGTAATTTGTCTATGCGCTGCATCTATTGATTGATCTAATCATATTTTCTTGCCTACGCCCTACTACAACAAATACAATCTGCATGTCATTTTGGTTGATGGTGATGTTTCCTATAGAGAAAAAAAAAGCGGAATAGAGATTGACAGCAAGTTGTCCATCTTTTTTTTCCTTCTATTCTTCTTTCTCATCGCACAACGACTACGACTATCGTTGCGCATTGCATGATCTTGTCATTGACTTTGTTCGTCTATGATCAGTTAGAACGCATAGAATCCACTATACTGTTAAAGACAACAACTCATCATTCATTGATACAAACGCACCAATCATCATTCAATGACTGAATTTGGTGTTAAAATCGATCGTCTTACAGAACGTCTTCGTCGTGGTACAGCACAATGTGATCTTATCGAACAACGAGCTTGTCTTACAGAAGAACGTTTATCAACACTTAATGAATCTGTTCAAACTCTTGCTCGTCTTATTGAAGTTAGTCTTTTAATACTTGTCTCGTCAGATAAAGAAAAATTCGCATGGATACAATTAAATGATAATGAAACTAATCAATTAACAAATCCAATAATAAAGCAATTTTTTTATCGCCTTGAATCTTCTTTACATCGATCGATTATTGATGATGAAGAAAAACTATCGTATATTAAAGCATTGTCTCTTGTTCGTAAGCCTTCAATTGTATCATTAAGTTTTTATTGAAATAATCTACAAGAAAAAAGAATAACATTAGAAAAAAACGATAATTGATGATTTTCTTTTTTTTTTTATCTAAAATTCAATTTTCATCTTCATCAACATTATTATTTTCATCAGCTTTTATATTATTTTGCAATAATCTTTTTGATTCTATGAATATTTTAACAGTTCCTATTCTTTCATCTGATAAATTATCTTTGATTGCAACATCTAAATGGATCACAATAGATAACTTATATTTTCTAAATTTTACTTTCATCTAAATCTTCATTATCGTCATCAGATCTTTCATAATTTTTATCTTCAATTTGTGACATAAACTTCTTACAAATAGATTTTAATGTATAAGAAGTTCCAAAAGTTTGAACGAAGAAAAACACATGAATAACTCCTCAACAATTCAAATAGTTTGATTTCTTTTACAGTTTGATCATATACTCATTAAAGTTTTCAGATAAAACGTCTGTGTTTACAGAAGCTAAGATTAAAACAGTTTTACTGATGATCAAATCCGAGCTAACTACCATTGTAAAATGAATGCTGTAAGTAAAATTCAGCGAAAACATGTCAACTAAATATTGCATTAGAAACATATTCCAGTAATTTGTGAATCAGTTTTGTTAACAATTGATGACGTTCAGCAAGGCCGTCGACTAATTATTGAAAAAATAATGACACTTGTAAAAATGAGCGAGAATCAAGTATCTCCTCTATAACTCTTATTCGCAGAACTGTTGAACAAACTGTGCTTTAGAAAGAGATGTTCCATCGTAATCCAGTATGTTGTCTGTGATTATAAGGAAATTCGTACAATAAGCAGAATACTTGATCCTGACTTATTTTCACAAGCACCTTTAAATTCATTGACTTTTTCGTCAGTAATTGTTGTAGACCTACCAGAACATGACCGTATCAGTTTCACAAAGTCATTGAAATATGGTTCACTTGGCATATTTTCCCGAATTCGACTTGCAGATCTCGTTCTACGATAGTAGCTGGCTCGAACTTGACCATCAGTAAAACTATTTTAATTCTAACTTCTATACACACAGACATTTTATCTGATAGCTATAATGAATAATATATGATCAAAGTATTAAAAAAAATAAAAATTTTTTTGTACTGCTGAAGAATTGTTCAGGTTTTATTTTCTTTCGAACTTGTGAAACATCCAGTGTAAAACAGAGTGCTTATAAGGTTATTTTATTTTACTTTACGTGTTGCATCATGAACATTTGTAACTACTGTAGGTGCTCTTTTAACTTGAAATATCACACGATAATGTTCAATACTTTGTGTTATTTTTTTCAATAACATTTTAAAGTGCACTAAGCCCTTAATTTCGATCAAGACATGTAGCTGTAACTACATAAGGGGATGAAGCTATTAAATTCATTCATAAAAATACAACCAACCATTTCTTTGTTAAATCTGAAAGTAGCAATTAATTTATTGCAACATGCATTTCTTCCATTGACATATTGAGACTTTCTTTCGATGCAGTTTTCACTACAATTGCAACTTTATAATCATAATGTGTTATTCCAATATCGAAATAAAAATAGTACAAATGCATACATATAGCAGTATAAAAGTTACTTATCTATTCGTTCGACATCTTACCACTTGAAGAGTTCAATGACAATGAATAGTAATAAACAAAATTTGTCTTGCTTCTTTATCAACTTGAAATTTCCTCAAGTTCATATTTATCAGTAATAAAAAGTCAATAAAAAAAGACATCTTCTTCTAAAATTTCAATTTCATTTTGACAGCTCGTAAAAATACATAATAAACACTGTCAGCTCGTTTATATTTTTCATCATAATATCGAACAGTTTTATCATGGAATTCTTCAAAACCTTGAAAATCGGATGTTATTTTCTTTAGAACAAGTCTTTCTTCACATTTACTAATATTTTCTGGTGTTACTCGACATTTAGAGAAATCTATATCACTTAAGAAAAATGACAAATTAAGATTGAAAATTTCTTTTTCTGTTTCATTTAAATAAAACTTTATCACAATCGAAACAAATAAGTTTATTTATTGAATGAATACAATGACAAGATAATTCTCTTAATAAAATCATGCCGAATTAAAATAGAAAAATATTTTAACAAGGCAGAAAAAGGGATCAATTGATCCTTCAATATTATTCTATCCAAATACATTAAGACAAACGCTCATTTCTTTGATATTGACAACGTTAGTCGCAACAAGATCATCTGTTTTCAGATTAACAATTTTTACAAAATTGGCAAGTTAACTACATGATTTCAGGAAATTAACGGGGATCAATTTTGAAATAAAAAATAGGTCGGATTTTGAAGAAATATTATTCGCCTGGTTTAAATTCTAATAATTATGATATTGAAAAGATATTTTTTTTTTGGCATTTGTTCTATGTTTTCATATTGATGGATTGTTTTACTAATGAAGTTTGTGCTCTAATTTATNTACAACTAAAACATACTCAGGACCATCCAAATAAAAATCTGTTGCATTAAGAGTAAAATGAATACGAGGTAATTTCGGTATTGCATTACAATCAATCATATACTAAATATTAAAAAAGACTTTAAAAAAAAAGGGAAATTATTCCTTTTTTATCTTACTTCACCACTAGCAATTGGTATAGCACCTAATTTAGCATTAAGATTAGCAATTTCGGCTTTTGGACCAACTAAAAGACTTGTACCAGTATCAGCAATACTATTAGAAGAACATAAAACAAATTGAATTTCATTTTAAAGAAATTTTTCTTACGCTTGACAACCGCCTTTACAATATTCATTTGAATCAAATGCAATTCCATCGAGTTTAAATTGCCAATAATCTTTTCGAGTGACATCAACATAAGTAAATTTACCATCATATAGAGTAGGATCCGAACCACCTTTTCAAAAAAAAAAGAAAAGAGAATCAATTTCAAATATTTATACAAAATAAAGACATACCGAAAATAATTTCGCCACCTCGTGGATTTTGTGGATCACTGAAAATAAAAATAAATCTAAATATCACTTTTTTTTAAACCTTTACCGATCAAGCCAAACACTAAAAATGTTTTCTGGAACCAATCCTTGATCGAACATATTATTAAATACTGGATAAATACCATCAACAGATATTGCTGGATAAGCAAGACCAAGAATACCTTAAAAAAATACATAAATATATTTCAATCTATTTAATTTCATTCAATCTTTACCATCAAATTTAGCTGTCACAAAAACAATACCAGGTTGTTTAATTGCTTCAGCAAAACCTTGATTTTGAATTTTAGCATCACCAATCTAATTCAAACTAAATAATGCTTTTACAAAAACATATATTCGATATCTTACTGTGACGGTATCCACGCTAACATATCCTGTAAGTGCACCAGTACCATATTGAATCTAGGAAAAAAAAATCTCCGAAAATAAAAATCTCATGCAAATCTATTTACTTTAAAAGCTGTGCCATTAGCAACATATGTCGATGATGCTCCATGATCATATTTTCTATGTATTTCTACAAAAACAACCTTTTGTTAAAGTACTTGACTTAAAATAAATAAATAACTTACGACAAGCAATGTCAAATATTGAACAGTGAACACTAAAATAAAACAATCAAATTACTTCGAAGAAAATCTCAAATAACGACTGACCGAACAGTCTTTACTTTTCGAATATGATAGGTTCAACATTTTTTCAGAACTTTTAATTTAGGGCTTATGAGTAGAGATGGCTGGGTCAAGCGTTTTTTAGTCCCGTACATGTATCGACCTTTTTAGAGGCCTGTAAATTAAGTTTGGATGAACTTTAGCAAGCTAAAAACTACCGAAAGTTGAAATGAAAATTGTATCAAATACAGCGAGTGAAAGAGTAAACATTTCTCAATAAAATGGTATATTAATGATTATTTATAGAAAACAGACTTGCAAAGAATCGGTAATATAGCATATGCAGTAAATAAGACTATTACTGAAAAAGAAAAATCAATTTTCTTGGTCCATCAGAAAAAAAAAAAAAAATTTGATTCTAATCCAATATTTCAAGTCTCTGAAGACTCCTTAAAAAGGTCCGAGCAATGAATGAGCATTTAGTTTAATTAATTTTCGATCATCCAACTACATACCTAGGTACCCAAAGATTAGATGAACCAGTACTATTTAAAACAAAAAAAAAAATAATTTTTTCGTTTTTTTTTATTTGTTATTAAATTAAGAAAACATACTCGAATACAACACGAAATGTTTGAGCTGGTGTACCAATGCCAATATCACCATAATATTGAGCCTAGAAACCATAATTATTTATCAGAAAATCAAAAGAAAAAACATTTATTGTTTTTCTTACATCCAAATAATTTGTTAAAGATTCAGGTATTGGTCCATTCAGACGATATTTACGTGCAAATGCAATTGATTTAGATGAGCCAACTTCAAAAAGTTGATCATGAGCTGATTCAAAATGATGCAATTTGACTCTAGATTTAAAAAACAAAAAAAATAAATCAATAAATTAATTAATCTACTAACCGATGAAGACGAGCATCTGTTATTGAAATAATTAATACAGAGCAGATAAGAATTGCAAGACACGAAAAGCCTTGCATTTTGGTTTTTATTCAAATTGTATCTCTAAAAAAGAATAATAAAAACTTGTTATTTATGTATACGAAATAGTCCGACTGTTTGAGAAGACGCAAAGTGGTGAAACACCAT